TACAGAAGCACTTTAAATCTATTAAAGTCTAACAAACTAAAATGTGTTACTACTATTATCACCATTTTACAGATGAAGAAATGAATGCTTAGAGAGGTTAAGGTTCGAACTTGCCCTAGGTCCTGACCACTGTTGTATCCTCAACACAAACCCTGTTACAGAAAGAGCATTCAATAAATACTTACTGAATCAGTGAATGAATGAATGCTTTCAAAGAAGTTTTACAACAGCCCACTTAGACAGTCATTACTGATGTAAGTCACAGAGAAGATGCATAAAAAATACAAGCTCACATAGTTAATTAACTAGACCTGGATGGAATCCTGGCCTGTATGATGCAGTCATGGAGTAAAAAAGTGGCTCAGAGTATCTGCTGTGCAGTCAGAATACCTAAATGCAAATTCCAGCTCTGCCACTAATGATAGGTGACTTCGAGTAAGATAGTTACGTATCTATCTGTCTATGTTTTCTCACCTGTAAAACGAAGATGAGAATAGGATCTACATCTCCTGGGATTGTTGTGAGGATTACATGAGGTAATAAAGTAAAAGGTCATATGTTCCTAGTTACATATCTGTTCTAGCACTGCTTGAATTTTAGCACTACCAGATACTCACTGTTAGCTGATAGGGATGATTCTGGATCTTGTGACTGCCTGAGATGTCCAGGACAGAAAAAGTAACTCTAGGAATCTCCAGGTTAGTTAGTGCCCATTTCCTTAGTTCAAAAAGGCTGTGCCAAGACAATACAGGGACCTGGGGATCCACCCCACACCTCTCCACTTCTGCTGCTGGAGACAGGATTGACTGATGATTTGCTGCCCACTTTGCTCACCCTGCTCCATTATAATCTTGGAAAGGGTAAAAATTTAAGCCAGCCTGGAGGTGAGGCAGACAATTGGGAGGCAACTGTATAATATCCTACTTTGCATTAATGCAGGGGGCCTTTTTTGCAAGTTTGCTTTACTTGCAGAACTTAAAACAGTTTCTAGCATATAATAAGCACAAAATGAACGTTACCTAATATTATCATTAGGTTCCACTGAGTTGATTTCGACCCATAGTGGCCCCAAGTGACAGAGCAGAACTTCCCCATAGGGTTTTCTAGGCTTTAATCTTTACAGAAGCAAATCGCCAGGTCTTTTTCCCTGCAGAGCTGCCAGGAGGGTTTGAACTGCAGACTTTTAGTCAGCAGCCAAGTGCTTAAGAGTTGCGCCACCAGGGCTCTTTTCAATATTATTATTAGCCTACTATAATTCAAATTTCCTCTCACCTCAGTGCCTCACTCCCTATTTATTTTCCAAAGAGCCTTAACAGCATTTTCAATTTTCCCAAATGTCAGTTCCAACTCATAGTGACCCTACAGGGCAGAGTAGAACTGCCCCATAGGGTTTCCGAGGCTGTAAATCTTTTATGGAAGCAGAATACCACATCTTTCACCTGTGGAGCGGCTGATGAGTTCGAACTGCCAACCTTTGGGTTAGCAGCTGTGTTTAAAGTGTTTAACGACTGAGCCACCAGGGCTCCTTCCCCAACTGTAATAAAGATCATTAAAGTACTTTGTAAAGGAATTCTTAACAACACATCCTCCTATTCACAATATGAAATAAGACAAAACACCTTATTCAGAACACCCATAAGAAGACAAGTATCAGATTCATTTATTTTTCAAGGCTCAAAGAAACCATTAAATGGGGCAGCAAGGAGAAGTAAAGAAGAGTTGTAACTAGACATTTTTATAAGCATGAAATTATATCTTCTTGAAAACACAAAGATTTCTGATTAGTATGTCCATGCTCTATTTACTATGTGCTAGCTGCAATCCTCACTTTCATGGTTAATTACATATCTCCTCTTTTGACTAACTTCAAATAGTCAAAATAATGTAACATTCATAAGGACTGGCACATACCATAATGTTTTGCTCAATTTGTTAGACATCTAAAATCTGGCAAGGAGGAAACTTGATAAGAGGAAACAGTCTTCTTTCAGTCATCATACGGATATGATCTTAGTGTTATCATAGATAACACATAATCATTTTGAACAAATGAAAGAAATGACTACTTATGGCTTAAAATTATATAGAAATGCCACCTATTTGTGCAATTTTTCATTTTTCTATGTTTTCCTATTCCATGAGTACTTTAATAATACATAGTATTTTTGGAATTTTCTATTTAGTATGTTTGGAATTTTGTATTTTTGACTGTCTTAGTTATCTAGTGCTGCTACAACAGAAATACCACAAGTAGATGGCTTTAACAAAGAGAAATTTATTTCTTCACAGTAAAGTAGGCTAGAAGTCTTAATTCAGGGTGTCAGCTCCAAGGGAAGGTTTTCTCTCTCTCGGCCTTCTCATCAATCTTTCCCTGGACTAGGAGCTTCTCGGCGCAGGGACCCCATGTTCAAAGGACACGCTCTGCTCCTGGCACTGCTTTCTTGGTTGTATGAGGTCCCCCCATTCTGCTGCCTTCCCTTTCCTTTTATCTCTTGTAACATAAAAGGTGGTGCATGCCACACCCTAGGGAAACTCCCTTTACATTGGATCAGGGATGTGACCTTAGTAAGGGTGTTACACAATCTCACCCTGATCTTCTTTAACATAAAATTACAATCACAAAATGGAGGACAACCACACAATACTGGGAATCATGGCCTAACCAAGTTGACACACATTTTTGGGGAGACATAATTCAATCCATGGCATTGATTATCTATCAATGGTTGTTTTCTTCTTAATTTCTAGAAAATGTGTTCAATTCAAATAGCCAAAGAGCAAAAACATACATATGGAGGTTTTATTTGTTTTCATTTTTAAGTAACAGTAATCTAATTAGATAAAAAAAAAATCACTTCTACATAATTCTGGTCAACTGCACAATTAGAAAAACAATGCAAAAGAAATGCCATTCTACAAGAGTCTTATGGTAATAAAAAACAAATTATAATACTTAGTCCAGATAAACTACAACCAACATTCCCTACTTTGGACCTATTAGCATTATATTCATTCATCAGTCTCATCTTTGTTTCCTGAAATGTCAACTAATTTGATCAATCATGACCAGAAATTTTTCTATACAAAGAAAAAAGCATACATTTTATTTGTACTTGATTTGGACAAACCACTGAGGGAGGGAGGGTATATAATACACACAGGTGCTCCTCAAAAAAGTTCAATATGATGAAGACTTGTAGAGGAAATGACATCTAGAGGCTGGAAATCATTAGCATCTCTAATACAATCACAAATTCTTACTGGGCAAAACTGCTTGCAAATACAGAGTATTTCTACCAAATGCCTTATCTGGTTTACTACACCATTTTATTTCAGTAACATTTTATGAGAACTCTGCTACATATTTTACCTCCTATCTGGTTCATATTTGACGATGTGTCCCATTCTGTTACTTTTTACGCTCCAAAATCAGATGTCTCTGTTGTCACATAAATGTAGCAGATCACACTAATTCACCAAACTTTTGGTGCTTCTTTTTCTTCTCTTACAGTTAAGGTGAGCTATTAGAACGCTTTTCTGCCATTTCACAACAGAAGTAATAAGAGGGCCTGTGTACTTCAACTCATCAGACAAAAAGACTGGTAGGTATTTATGGAATTTCTACTGGGTCAGGGGGTGGGGAGCAGGATAGCCTGCTTCCTAATGACTGTCCTTGTGTGCCATTGAGTCCATTCCAAATCACAGCAATCCTATAGGACAGAGTAGAACTGCTCCATAGGGTTTCCTAGGCTGTAATCTTTATGGAAACAGACTGTCACATCTTTCTCCTGTAGAGCAGCTGGTGAGTTTGAAACGCCGACCTTTCGGTCAGCAGCGAAGTACTTAACCACTGCACCACCAGGGCTCCTTTCCTAATATAAACCAAAAAAACCCAAACCCATTGCCATCGAGTTGATTCCGACTCATAGCAACCCTATAGGACAGAGTAGAACTGCCCCATAGTTTCCAGACAGCGCCTGGTGGATTCGAACTGCCGACCTTTTGATTAACAGCCATAGCACTCAACCACTATGCCACCAGGGTTTCCTTCCTAATGATAGAACCCTATATTTATACACTCATCTGATGAGGCAACTCTACCCAGGAAGAAAGATGACAGCAATACTTCTTATCACATTTAATACTAGGGCTCACAAGTTGCCTCTACCAATACTGTAATTACCATTAGCAAACATTTCATAATGAATATATACATAAAGAAGCTATGCACAGAGTACATGAATTAATATTATTCAACACTAAGTGCTTGTAGTATGTATTACTTAAGAGACCTATAAACACTTGTAGACAAAAACTCATACTTGTAAGCAATTCTTATATATATACATGTTTAAAATAACATTATACATAACCCTCTTTATGACCTCATTTTCAAAAACAAAACTATTAATACTAATTTATATTTTATTTTAAGTATATTTTAGGAAACATGATTTATCCCAGAAAGAAAAAAAACAAAAAACAAACCCACTGCCATCGAGTCGATTCCGACCTATAGTGACCCTACACGATAGAGCAGAACTGTCCCATATGGTTTCCAAGGAGCGCCTGGTGGATTCAAACATGCCAACTAGCAGCCATAGCACTTAACCACTATACCACCAGGGTTTCCATTTATCCCAGAGAATATTACAATTTGTATAACATCTTTTATTATAATTGCTCTACTGTATCAAACAACTGCACTTATTTCAGCTTCGTTTACCATATTTAATATATGTATATTAACATTCCTAATTTTGATAAGCAGTAGTAAGGATCTCTGTAGATAATAAACTATAAAATTTAATTCAAATGTCAAAAATGGGTACTGGTGTTTTTTGTTTTTAAACTGTATGTGTAAGAATTATAAAGTATAAATAATGGGTATGACAGAAAAAAAAAACTACATGAATTGAAAAAAGTTATCTTTTAGGCCAAATGTATTAATAGACAAAATTTGTATTAAGAATGCTATTTACTTTATATATAATGCTTACCTGCCCCTTTCAACTGCTAAGGCATCAAGTTCATCAAAGAAAAGAATTGAAGGAGCAACTGCTTTCGCTTTTCTGAAGATCTAGTGAAAGAGTGGCAGATTAGCTAAAGATCAATAAACTCCAGAAAACTCTATCCATATAGATGTGTAGGAGGCAATTTGTTTAAGCAATCTGGCTGGACAGATAATCTCAGTTAAAATCCCAGCCCTACTACTTTGTAGCCATGTGATCTTCAGCATTATTTATTTATTTCTTTGAACTGCAATTTCCACATCTATAAAATGGAGTTAGTAATGAATGCCTACAGTGTAGAAGATTACTTTAAGAATTGAATTTAAAAAATGCAAAGCATTTAGCACAATGCTTGAAACATAATAAGAACTCAGTGAATAATAGGTAGTATTGACTATCATAAGTACATGATTAAAAGAACAATCATAAAGGCATGAAATCAATCATAAAGGCATAAAATCAATCATAGATTAAAATATAAAACATCTATCTTCCCAAAAGCCACAAGCCTTACCCATTCCTCCCAAGTTTGTATGGGAAAGTAATGATTGATGTAAAGCCAGGACAAGCAAGAAAAGTTGCCAAAAATTAGAAGCATATACGTTAATTGGAACAGAAGTTAACCAGACTACCAACATCAGAAACTAGCCAAAAATCCACACGGGCACTGTGTAGAAGTGGGTTAGAAAAACGCAGTATAGAGAAATCCAAATCCGTGTCAGCTATAATCTATTCCCTCATTTTCTGATCACAAGCAATATGACCATAAAAATACAAAACAAGTTATCAAAACATTAATAATAATAAACATTGTCATTTTCACACTTTAATCAATGGTGGCATTATCCTTATAATTGTATCCCCTACTTTTAAAGGAAAAAAAGGAACAAAAAGTAATTAAAAATTTTTTCTCAGACGTAAAACAAAGTATTCCAACCCCTAATACTCTTAATTGGTACCCAGATTTTCACAAATGGGGACCATCCATTCCACTGCTATTTGTGTTACTGCCCTTGCTTAGCTTCTGCGAGGACACAGGGTCCCTGTGAGGTGGGCCAATCTTTGCTTAGGAAAGCCAAGACACGTGGTCAAATTGCTGCAGCTACTTGACTCTAGTTGCCCTAACTTTGCATGAATTTACCAATTGTGTAGCTTCCTCAATATTAGGCTTTAAAACTTAGGAGGGAGGAGGGGGAAGAAGCATTATCTAAATCACCAGGCAGTGGTAAAGTAAGTATGATAATGACGGCATAGTGAAATTTTCATATACAGTGAAACTTGTGAGAGCTGGAACTTAACATGACTGCCTTGTTTGTCCGGGTCTCGTAAGTTTTCCACCTTGACAGAGTGCAGTCTTACCACTTTTATATTACTCATTTTAGATGAAAATATTTGAGTTTTCCTTCTCTGAAGGTTTCCACCTTACACAGGTGCAGCTATTGCAGATTTCCTGGGACAGCCTGAACTTACGTAAGGTGGAAACCTGTCAGAGAAGGAAAACTCAAATATTTTCGACTTACAGACAGCAATAGAAAAGTGGTAAGACTGCACCCTGTCAAAAGCGGAAACCCCAAGAGACCTGGAAATACAAGTCTGTCCTGTTGCGGTTCTCACAGGTTTCACTATATTAAGTTTATTCAATTTAAAGGGTTATATTTTTAAAAGGATTTAAATCTCATTCTGAGGCTATGCGTTCTCCATTGTAGGTATACAGACATCATTTTTTTTAATGCAATGGTAGTAGTTTTAAAAAAAATCTTATTTGGTGAAAATAAAAGCTGGTAATATGATGTTTAAAAACAAAAAAAAAGTATTCCAGACAATCAAAATTACATTTTTATGTAATAAAATAATATTTTGCCTGAAGTAAAAATGCACCACTAGAATTGGGATTGAGATTTGGAAATTTCAAAGTCCATCTATAACTCAAATAAAAAAGGACAGCATTTTGGAAAACATACAGAAGGGCAGAAGCATGATTCTCTCAGGTAGAGTTCCACTTACCACATAATCTTCTTACCTCTCTAACTGCTCTTTCAGACTCACCAACATATTTATTCATTAATTCAGGCCCCTGCATGAAAAGAAAACAATAATTTTTCAGTGTCCTTATAAATGCAAACATGTGTTTGTCTTTAGATGAAGGAGAAAAAATAATCAAAAAGAAAAGAAAAATAAACTAAATCTGCTTTTAATTACAGTAGCTTCCCCTTATCCTCGGTTTCGCTTTCCGCGGTTTCAGTTATCTGCGGTCAACTGTGGTTCAAGAATGTTAAATGAGTACACAGCATGATGAAATTTCACTCTGTCCCGCTCTGTCATCCACATAACTTTTATTACAGTATATTGTTACAAATGTTCTATTTTATTATTATTGTTGTTAATCTCCTACTGTGCCTAATTTGTAAATTAAATTTTATCATAGGTACGTATCTATAGGACAAATAATAGTATATATAGGGTGCAGTACTATCCGTGGTTTCAGGCATCCACAGAAGTCTTGGAGCGTATCCCCCGTGGGTAAGGTGGGACTACTGTAAATTAGTTCCTTTAGCATGCTTATTTTCAAAAGGTGTTATTTATGCCTCAAAATTTAAAGCTATTCTCTGTTCCAAAAACATCAATTCAAAGGAAAGACTGTGATTAGGCATAATATTTTAACATCTTGTCCCATCACCTGTCGTCCATCCATCCATATTTTTAATGTGTATCAGGTATGGTGCTAGGCGTTGAAGACAGAACAGACTAATTTAGCAGACCAACAAAAGAGTATTTCCTGAGCAGTCTACATCAGTTAAAAAACCACCTGACTGACTGAAACAAACACATGGGTAAACCCTAGTAGAATGTCAACTAATCCTGCAAATTGGTATGGGTGATATTTAGGTCCAGTTCAGCTAAGACACCCTATTACAAAGATAATTACCATTCAGTCTAAGTACTATGACAGAGGCATGCACAGGTGCCACCAGGACATAGAGAATGACCTATCCTTAGAGATTCAAGGAAGGTTCCTAAAGACATTTCAGATGAGTCCTCAGCTGATTTATTCCATGCCCTCAAAAATATGAAATACATCAAGACCTACCTAGGAAGAAATAAAAAAAAGGTCTATGATGAGTCAAAACATATGTTACTATATTCACTCTAATTGTAGAAGAGCTCTTAAGGCTTTTATTCAGAGCGCACTGACTTTTAGTTTATATACAACACAAACAACCTGAATAAGGCTGATAGAAGAGTTTAGTACAGGTGGAGCATAGGGTGCAAGGAAAATGCAGTCTGTAAGGCTACTTACTTAATGCAGGAGGTGGGAGGGAGGCATGTCAAAAATGTTTAGATTTTATCCTATACATAATAGAAAGAGTTTTAGGGGCATTAACTGATAATAGGAGTATTGCAGAAAGATTATCCTGGTCACAATTGTAAAGGATGATTTGGAGGGACATTTGAGACCAGAAGTTCTTAAAATAATCAAGATGATAAATGACGAGGGAAAGGATTAAGGCAAAATAGAAGGATGGAAACAAGAAGATAGCCACAGAAACTACTAAAACAATAAAAACAACATAATCTGTTGTGAGTATTCAGATGTGAAAGGTGAAGAAGAATAAGGAGTAAAGAATTTAAAAAATTGTACTATTAAGTCAAATTTGAATTATGTTCACAATGACGACTTATTTCATCAAGAAAAAAATCTATGCTCAGTGTAGTGTAGCAAGTCTCAGAAATATATAGCTTATTAAAAATATTTCTTTCCAACATGATTAAAATAAAAAATTTTGTAATCACAATCATCAGTGCTAATATTTAATAAATACTATGTGCCATGAGAAGCCCTGGTGGCACAGTAGTTAAGAGCTTGGCTGATAACCAAAAGTTTGGCAGTTCGAATCCACCAGCCACTCCTTGGAAACTCTATGGAGCAGTTTTACTCTGTCCTGTAGGGTCACTATGAGTTGGAATCGACTCGACAGCAGACAACAACGATGTGCCAGGAACTGTTCTAAGCACTTTATATGTATTAACTCAGGTATGTAAACTGTCAAAGAAGTGCAGAGTTACTATGATGATTTTCCATCTGTGAGTAAATTAAATACTCACACAAAATCAACAGCAGGGAAGATCACAAATATCTAGCACCTTAGTCCGTTTGCTAAAATTCACTTCACTAACTGACAGAGAAGTACTAAATCACTCATTCATTTAATGAATATTTATTGAGTGCCCACAATCAGTTTGGAGTCCCGGTGTGACGCAGTTATGTGCTCGGCTATTAACCAAAAGTTTAGGAGTTCGAATCCAGCCAGAGGTGCCCTGGAAGTAAGGCCTGGCAATCAAAAAGGGTCATAGCCATTGAAAATCCTATGGAGCACAGTTCTACTCTGACATACACGGAGTCGCCATGAGTCAAAACCAACTCAATGGCAACTGGTTTCTTTTGTTTGTTTTTTTTTCCGCCGTGAGTTTCTGGTCTAATAAGGGAAACCATATTCCTAAAAAAATAAATAAATAAAACTAGCAGTAAAAGGAAAAAGACACACGCAACTCTGTAGACTGTCGGAAAGAGAAGTAAAAATAAAGCAGAGATCTCTTTCAGGTAATGGAGTCAAGAAATAATCCTGAAGAGCAATGAGCTCACAACATGTTTTTATTATTTTCTCAGACATTACTCAGCAGCCACTTCAGTAACTCATGTACACCGATGCAGAGTGGGAAGGGAGAACACAAGCAGTTATGTTGATCCCAGGGGTATGGACTGTTCTGGGGTGGACAAATGTAGAATACTTCTGGAGTTCCAGAGAAAGCATGAGACAATTTTTGTGCCCAGTGATACGAGGAGGCAGCTGATAAACCAGAACATAGAAAGACTGAGGAACTAGAAGTGGCCATAAACAAAACGAGCAGGTATAACAGAATGCAGAAAGGGGATTTCTGGAAGCATATGCAGAGTTTGACATTAGAAAAGGAATTTCAGGGTCCAAGACTTCATAAAACAATTAAAGGTAAGAACAAAATTCAAGTTATCAAAGGGACTAACCAGAATATTAACACAGAAGGAAATACTATTTTTTAGTTTTCCAAGACAATTTATCTTTCACAAATACAATAAAACTCTAAACAATTAACTTCTTAAACTCTATGAAGTTCTATACTTGCTCATAACTTCCTAGAAAGCTGTCATCTCTGCCCATAGAAATCGCATTATTCTTCCTTTTAAAATCTTCTGTAATTTTACCCAAGCCCAATCATTTGATAAATGTTCCTCAAATACTCAGCACTCCTGGCAATCAGAAGACAAATTTGTTAAATTTAAACCAACAAATTAAAAAATTAGAAATACAGGAGTTCTACTTCTGGGAATGGTGTACTACTTTGTTTTAAACAAACCTTCCAATCCAGAACAGTTAGAAAAGGTATTGGATAAAGGCATAAGGGCATTGGAGATGTCCTGAGGTAGCAAGGACTTCCAGGACCAAGATGGGATAGAGAAGGGAAGTATGGAGAGATGAGCCCACATTTTATCCCAGTCATTTCCAACTTGAAAGAACTTACTGAGAAACTGAGAGGCAGAACAGAGCATTTAGCAATCCTGAACAGAGCATTTAGCAATCCTGCAGTGCTGGGCGCACAAGAATTAAAGTTCAGGAGACACCAAAGAGGAGGAATCTTAGTAGACACATAAGACTTTCAGCTGGTATTCCAAATGCTACGCTAAAAGGTAAAGAGTGAATCAGAAATACATACGCCCTTAAACCTGACTTGATGAAATGATCTGTCCCTAGCTTAACTGCCCGTATAAGAAAAAGTAATTATCTCAGGAAGAAAGGAACATCATAAAGAGACTCAAATCAGTCATACAATACAAAAGCCATTTGCGGGGCTGCAAAATGGAAGCATCTACACAGAGACGGAGGTGGAAGGGCACCGGGGTGGTCCAGAGAGGAGTGTGAGAATACAAGCAGGATGAGTAGAGAGTCCATGGGGAAACTGGACTCATATAGGTTGTTGAAGCCTAAAGGGATGAGCTAGGTATCTGTGTGGGGAAAGAAGAACAGCAGGAGACATTATAGTCCTCACCAGATGAGAAAGGTATCGATGGAAAGAAGAGTAGAAAGGAAAGTGGCCTGATGCAGAAATTGGAGCCAAAGATGGTTGAGAAGGGCAACCTGTTGAAGGATATCCTGGTACAGGGTTGCAAAGGGTGACCACACAGGGGTGGGGAAAAGGCAATGCAGAGTTTTGGAGCCACAGAACAATGGATGGGAGGGGAGATGGAGACATCAATGAAGGAGGGAAGGTGCTGGCAGCCACCTAGCATGAGGTGTCAGATGTCAGAGCCCAAGTGGGGTAAGGAGGATTTCCTCATAGAGTAGCAGCTCAGCACAGGGGGTCATATTCTGAGTGGAGTAAGGAGGGCATCCCTATAAGGGGAGGGGATGGCTAGTTTTAAGGTGTGGAAGGTTCCCACAGGGGCTATAGAGAAGCATGAAGAAAGCATCCACATGAGGGGGTAGCCCAGTGAACAATAATGGAGCCCTAGTGGCGCAAGAGGAGCCCTGGTGGCATATAGTGGTTAAGAGTTTGGCTGCTAACCGAAAGGTCAGCAGTTCGAATCCACTAGCTGCTCCTTGGAAACCCTATGGGGCAGTTCTGCTCTGACCTATAGGGTTGCTATGAGTCAGAAATGACTCTACAGCAACAGGTTTGGTTTTGAAGTGGGGTAAGGAGGGTGTCCTCATAGAGGGAGGGGGGTGACTATGTGTAGTACGTAGAGGATTTAAAGGAAGGGCAGCACGGGGTGTTGCGGCATAGAGAGTGAGTAGTGTCCCTGCAAGGGGATGGCATGGGACACAATGTCAGAGCCCTAGAGGGCTTAGAAGGATATCCCTGAGGAGGAGGAGCCCAGCACAGGTTGTCAGAGTCAGCAGGGTGAAGAGGGGACTGTATGAGGGAGACAGTAGGGGGGAAGAGAGATGGTAACTGCACCTTGACACAAATGTGGGAGCCTAAGTGGGGTGAGGAGCATGTCTGTACAAAAAGGCGGGGGACAGAGGCAGCAATGGGAGATTA